GACTCAGTCGACGGCTGAGTCGACTGAAAAGTCTCTAACGGCTGACTGAGTCGACTCCAGAATTTGTCACGACTGGTACTACTACTCGTAAATATCCAAAATTCAAAATTTAAATGTATTACCCTATTTTATTACTGATAGAGTTTAAAAACTTGTCATAAGCACAACCTTGTATGTTATTTAGATTAATGGAGCGAACACCTTTTTTTAAAATTGAAATAATATATATCTTCCTGAGAATTTATTCACAATGTAAAATAAAATTATTTACATAACAATTTTAGAATTATTTTCACACCATTTTGTGTAACTCATTTTTTTTTAAAATAAAAATAATAGTTTAGATCAAGATGAAACAATTAAATGTTAATTCCATCACATCAATCAACTTCGATATTAACAATTCCATGACGGCTTTAATTTATATATAATAAACTTTCAAGTTAGTAAGTTGAACTTAAAATAATGCGTTTCTTTATTAAAATTACCAAGTTTGTAGCTCTTTTGGTTCAAAAAATATTTTTTTATAAAAAAAAGAAAAAAATGTTAAACATCTAAATAAAAAGTGGTTTCATAGCGTTCACCAATATTTGAAACTTCAGTGCAGGCTTGAATTTCAAAATCATCAAAAGTCAGTGTGAATGTAATAAAACAAATCTCGTCGTTTAAAGAAAGTGGCAATTCAATTGACAATCTACCAAGTGGCTTAACATGTGGGTCATCACAGTATTTTGCATCATCTTCTGATGTTATAAAAATATCAATAACAATTTTACGTTGATGTTTACAGCAAGGATAAAAAGTTCTAGTTACTCGCTCATCCACTTGTGTGCCTTTTTTTGCTAGTCTATCAAATCTATTTATTCTGCCACCAGGTAATTTTCTTTCTTCTGGGTCACCTTGTTTCCATTTTTTATTAATAGAAGTTCCTATTTAAAAATACTTGTATTTTAAATTAAAGACTTAAAAATTTAAGTAAGTCGAAATATAATATAAATATTAACCATAGGTCCATTTCAAAACACGCGAAGTATGTACCTCTTCTTTCATGCCATATGTAACAGCTAAATTTAGACTTGAATTTTAAAACATAATTCTAGATTACCAAGTTCAATAAAGATAAAATATTTCTTTCATACCTCCTTTTATAATAGCGGTAGCTGGTTGGGGTGGTATGGAGATAACTCGTACTTTTGTACTAAATTCTTGTTTTATTCTTGATTGCAAATATTTTGATTCACTAAATCCACCGACTAATATTAACGCAGAACTATTATTGCTAGAACGTAATTGAGCATTGATTAAAAGCATAATTCTTTCCACAACTGGATCAAACATTGCTTTAACGTCTTCAAAATTTAATCGAACTCTCCAATCATTTTGTTCCATCCTATTCAAATATTCTCCTTTACAGTATTTTTCTAAAACAGGGCAAAGTTCTAAAAAGTATTTTTTTTTTTTTTTAAGAAACATAAGATTAATTTTATCAAAAAAAAATAATAACTATAATAATCAATATTTCACCATCTAATTCCAGGTCGACAGGAACAAATTCTGATTTATCTCCGCTAAATCTTATCTTAACTTTTCTACAAAACTCTTGTAACACATATTGAAGTTGGTGATAGTGTTTGTCATTTACAAGATTTATTGTAGAAGTGCCGACTCTGCATCTTAAGAAATTAAGAAATTCTTGATCTACGTAACTTCCACCACAAAAATCTTTAGTCCTCTCTGTAATTTCACTTAATTTGTCATCATCCAATAATTGTCGAGTTGTTAAATCCACGGTCCCCCCACCACAATCAACAACCATAATGTTTGCTAAAATAGCATTTAAAAATTGATTAAAAATTATTCTTTTATTTGTAAAGTCGTTAGATACTTACTACCCACTTGTAAATTATGCTGTTTTAAGGATTCCATACAATGAATCGCAGCAGCTTCGGCTGTAGAAGAAAATATTTAAATAAGACTATAAATTTCGTCGAGAGTTCTTATCACATGATATATACTTACGTTCCGTAATAAATACTAAATTTCGACTATTAAGATTCCTCAATAGTCCTGCTTCAAAAGCGCATGCTCTCATAATCGCAATTGCATTATCATCAAATTCAGTAGGAATCTTTTTTTTAAAAAAAAATTAGAAGAATTCATAAATGTTTAAAAACAAACAAATGAATCCTTTTACCGTTAAAACGAGTACTACGTGAGTAAAGAAATCAAGTTCCCAAATATTAGCAATAGTTTGTTTTATAATCTTACTCAATTCTCGAAGGTAATCAGTAATAGCTTTTTTATAATCAAGTCCATTAGGTAAAGGAGATTTGTTTTCCATGCTTCCTAAATGAAGTGTAAATCTTTCTACAGGTTTAGAAGTAGAATTTTTATTTCTCCTAGTTGGTCGTTCTGCTAATGCTGGAAATCCCCACGCTTTAAGATTCTTAAATCCTTCATCGTATAATAATGCTGTCGGAGTTTTAAACCGACCACTAAATTCTGGCCAATCTGTGTATGGATAAATTTCACGTGGAGCTTTTTTATGTGCATAAGCGAAACTCTTAAAATTCAAAGTAAAAATTTAGATATGATTTATGTATCGAAATCAATAAATAAATAAAACTTACCGAATAAGTGGTTCCGACATCTATGAAGAAAATGTATTTAACGGTTATAATAATAAAGTCATGCGAGATAGAAGTACATTATTGGCCTACCTATACCAACAGCAACACGATATTCAGATTTTTTGCCTTCGTTTATTTCGCTCATCATATTATAGTCTTTTATAATTTTGGGAATAACGCGGATTTTTATTAAAAGATGGTCAGGTCATATGGTAACACTTGTATCTTTTAGGGTGGGCCAGAAATTACGTCATTAAAAATTTAGAAATTTTGACCCTCCCCCTTGCTTGTCTTGTCATCATCCATTTTAAAAATATATAATTAACTTATATAAAATTTGTGAAACGTCATAACCCTTTTAAAATGACGTAATTTCTGTCCTCCCCTTATATTATTTCTTTTAAATGAACCCTATTTCTATTGCTTTTGAGAAATATGTTACAATATCCTTTTAAAATGTACACTTTTGCATAAAAAAAAATTATTATTTTCCCAAGATCTGTTGGTTTACACATAAGTCTCCAAATATGGAAGCCTCGCAATGATTTCTATGCATGACTATGCATGTCAATCATTATGTGAGAAAATTTTAAATAAAAAAGGAGCCATTTTTTTTAAACAAGCTTTTTTTAGCCTTAAAAGTATTTTTAAAAATAATTTTTTTAAATGACTCAGGCATAACTACTTTCTTAAAATAGATTTGGACTAAATGTGTTAAAAAAAATTATATATAGTTTTGAAATTAAGATATGTTTAATATTAAAATAAAAAAATAAAAAAATAAATTAGAGATAATTTAGATTATTTAATCTATACAAGTTATTTATAATTATTATCTTTTAGAAATAATGTTTTTGGCTTTTAGTTCGATCGGAATATTGTATTGACTTATTTATAAATGATTTGTACTTTGCAGCTTGAATAGGATAGGACGATAATTTTGACTATTTATTAACGCAAACAATAACGATATTAACGTGTGATTCTATAATGTTGACTTAAAAGCTAATAATATTGAAGCAGGTATGTTTTATTAAATTATATACTATTGATACAATTATTAATTAAAAAAATTGTTTAGCGTTATTAAATTATTTTTTTTAAATATAGATAAAAGTACTACAATTAGTTCTAATGAAAATAAAGATTCATTTCAACAACCATTAGATTAACAAATCAAATCAATCGCAAGATTTCAAAATGACAGCTAAAGTTTTCATTAATTCCATAGTTATTTTTAGACAATGTCGTGACAGAATAAGGTGACGGAAATGCTTATTTATCGCTTCTTTATGTCAAAAACGGTCATTATGATATGCATTCCATCATCCGAACTTGCGTGAAGTCCGAAATGTCAATTCCAACAGATAGCAAATTGATCGTCAACGCGGCGATCCAAATTCGTTCGCAGTCAATTTTCGAGGGTAACACTATCATAAAATTTAACCAATAAAATCATCTGATTGGCCATCTCATCGGCTATAGAAATCACCTTACGAAATCATATGATTTATTATGTTCAGTAAGGTAAATAGTGATTACTGTTCCGTGAATAGTTTATTACTAATTAATATTAGTTGAGTTAATAATTAAAATAAAAAATATCAATTTTAAAAGAATTTTCTTCATTAAATTACTTGTGTAACGTTATCAAAAGCAATTTTGTAAATAAATCTACGGAGCTTAAAATAGATCGTAATTAAAAAACCAGACATACCCGGGTGATCAAATGATTCGAATTATTACCTTAATTGATAACTCCAGTTATATCACACTTACTGTACCAATCCTGAAAATGAAACTTCGAAAACGTAAAGCTTTGCGTAGTGTACTTTTTACAAAAATATAATCTTCTACTGGTACAACTAACATTATGAAAAATTTTTCAAATACAATCAATTTATAAACTATTAGGTCATATAAATAATGCCGAAATCATTAAATTTGATATTAAATAAAGTATATTCTGAAATATATTATTATTATATATTTTTATACAAATAATTTATTCATTCTAACTAAACTATTTTTTTAAAAAAAATACATGAGAAAATAAATAGAAATATAAAGAATTTACAAAGTTTAGTTCAATTTGAGGCTCTTGCTTAAATTTTGAAAAATTTAAGATAAATCATTAGAACCGGAAATCAAAATTCTTTCCGAATTGATATCCCGAATTCTAAAATGAATATTTCAACTTTGAAACATTTATGCAGGAACAAAAGTTGTGTTACCATTCGAAAATTGAAAATTTTCTGGTAAGCATTATAAATTTTACACTTGTTAGCGACATTTTGCCTGAATTAGTAAGTGTATTGTTCAGAATAACGTCAACTTAAGAAATTCGAGAGCAAGGAAGGATAAATCTTGGTTTTTTTTTGTTATAAAATTTTTTACATTCTTTTAGGTTTCAGCTTATATATGTAAAATTCTAATTTCATGACAAAAGTGCGTGAATCTTTTGTTTTTTTGTTTTTTTGTGTCAATAAGCATAGTTTTAACAAAATTAAAAAAAAATTAAATAAAAATGTTCCTTAAACAGAAATTAAAAAAAAAGCAAAATAAATCTTTAATATATAGCATTAATAACAAAAATATAAAAATTAATTAAATAAAAACTTACTGCATCAGATCCACCATCAAAATATAAAAATGTATGATGAATAAACAATAATAAATAAATAATAGAATGAAGACAAATAAATATTATATAGATTAATAAATAAATAAAATAAAAAATTAAAATTGATAAACTGTACTGCATCAAACGAACAAGTGAACCTAAAAAAGTAAAATTAAAAATAAAAGGAAATAAATTATAATACCTAAATAAAAAAAATATATTAAATATTAAATATACTGAAAGCTTTTGTTATGTATCATAAAAAAAAATGATTTATTAATGTATTATTTTATCTATTTTTATAAATAATTTTGCTTAGGAGATGAAGTGCCCGAAAAACTGCAAATTCAATAAAATGGATATTATGGGGCCTTTCAATGCAATAGTAAGTGGTAGAAGACATAAGTAAATTTGATTTTACCCGGCAGTTTCCCCTCTTTATATTAAAGTCTACTACCATATCAAAAAAAAAAAATTCCTGTTTCCGCACCCAAATCAAATCGAAAATGGTAGGACAAACGGCAACCTCATGAAATAACGTAATTTATGTCATCTTTACTATATATGGCTTGCGCTGCGTAAACTCGTAAACTCCGAACACAATGAAACAATTCTCATTGTTAAAAAAAAAAATTATTATAAAAATCTTCTCTTTCTTACCTTATATTCGACATATTAAAGTGATCAAGTTATTTTTATTTAAAAAAGGTTATTCGGTCCTTATTTTTTCATTTAAAAAGAAAAAAAAAATTTCTTTTAAAAATATTTAGGCGTTCAATCAACTTAGCACCTTTATCATAATGCAGTTAATGCAAGTCCCAAAAGAAATTCATTTATCGATTATAGAATCAATCCTAGTATCTGTCGATTCCGTTTATGTATTAAAACCACTTGCATTCACGTGTCGTCACTTCGCATACCTTTGTCTCTACGAAATTTGGAAGACAAGAAGGTTGATAGAGAATAATTCATTGAAAACATTCCGTAACACTATCAAAAAATCCATTAATGCCTTATGGAGATTTCATATTAAAAATACAAATAGATGAATTAGATAAAGAAGCACCAATTTACATTGATGATAAATTAATTAAATTTTTTGCTGAAAAATGCAAAAATCTAAAAGAATTAACGTTAAGGTTTTCTCAGAAGAAAAGAAAAAATAAAGCGTGTTTACCTCCTTTGGAGTTGCTTGGGGATCGAATAAATAATTTGACAATAGTCAATTATGAGAATTGGGATAAAAATTATGACGATGATGATGAACAAGAACAACAGTTGCAAATGTCATCGCCGGTTACTATAGGACAACAACTTTTGAATATTGTGTATAATTGTTATAAAAATACAAAAATACCTTCTATCTGTAAAGCTTCAGATAACATGCAAGAAAGACCAAAAGGAGGTTTAAACGATTGCAGCAGAGAAGATGAAGCGGAATACCATGATGCGTTAAGCGAAACTGTTAAATTAGGAGTCGCTAAAAGTGTTCGATTATATGATCCAAAAATGTCTGAATGTATGTGGGAAAGGTATTAAATATTTATAATTTTAAAAAAAAATTCTTGTCAAATATATACTAAATAAAATATTTTTTTCCCATTTACCCATTTTATGCCGACACTGATATAGTTTTAAGAGCAATGCAAAAAATTCCTTGCAATCGATTAGAATAACATTTAATCAAACAAGTTTAACAACAGATCCATCAATGATTGTTATGCTATTTGGAAAATATTGTAAGAATTTAAGAATATTTGATATCGATACATTTCAACAAGCCATATCTAAAGATTCCATATTGATATTACTGGAAAATTGTAAAAAATTAGAATATTTAGATATAACAGCATCAAGTGAAACGGTTCCATTTTTATATAAATCTAAATCAATCAAATCAATAAATCTATCACATATAGTCAATGGGAATGATTTAAATCAAATTAACGAATGTATGGAGAATTTAAAAGATTTATTATTTTTGAAGAATTTTCCAAATTTAGAGTACTTGTCGATTGGGAATTTTGGTGAAATGAATGACGAAGGATCTTTAAATGTTTCAAAGTTAAATTTAACCGAATTAATTTAAGTTAAAACTCCAAACATATCGGATGAAGCATTACTCATGTTTGGGTCAATGAATTCATTAGTCAAGTTTAAAATTAGAACTCGTTTACCCAATGTGACGCAAAAAGGTTGGATTAATTTAGTTAGAAGGCCAATCGGTTGCCCTTCTTGGCGTGTAATTACAATCGATGATGGTAGACAAATTAATTCCGAATTTTCGAAACGTTAAAACAAGATCATCATAATCTAGAATTCTTGAGAATAAGGGGTTTTAAATATAATCTATTAAATGATAAATCCAAATTTCAGGATAAAAATACTTATTATACCCCTGTTATTTATTGGCCTATTAGATCTAGGTATCGATCAGTTGATCAATTACAAGGATTACAAAGATAAAAACGTCTCCGAAGCCGTGGGGCGTTTTTACAACGTATTTCTTAGTATGAAGCTGCGGTGTCATTTCTTACTAGTTTTTCTAGGGATGTTAAATGTTCCCAAATGATTGTGAACAAAATTTAGAAATTACTAGTTATAGAACTTTATTATACTTTTAGAAATTTGTTTTGAATGTACATCTAGTTCGCCAATATTAATTTATCAACTTTAAAACTCAAACCCTTCTTTCACTTTTAGTGGGATCTTACCAGAAAATAGGCAATTTTGCTTTAAAACTAATAAAATTTTTTCGCAAAATTTTTTTTGGATTAAATTTTATACAAAATGTTTTTTAATTTTTAAAAAAAAATATTTTATTGACAGGCGACGTCTTAGAATCAAATTTTTCTTTGTATTATCAAGTTAAAAGTTTGGCACTTGTTAAAAGAAAATATGTGATAAAAATTACTAGTTTGAATGGTTTTTAATAAAACTCTTGAAAGGTATGATATTAAAATAAATTTTTGCTTACAGTAATATATTTATTTTTTATTAGCTTTTATTTTTATATTTTACTCTAAATAATTTAATACATTTATTGATATTACGATTTAATTTACAGTATTTTTACTTGGATTTTTGGACTTTGATGATATGGTAAAAAATATCTCAATTAGAATTTCTTTTTAGATTTTTATTTTTAAATAATTGACTCTAATAACATTTAAACAAACTTCTTACTTAATCTTAAAAGGAGGTATTTCATAATAAATCATAAAAGTATGGCATCAACAAAAAAAAAAGTAAAAATAATATATCATATATATATACTATCATAATATGAAAAAAAAAATACTTCAAAGTTGAAAAGATACCAAATTCTTCTACTAACAGAAACATTGAATAAATATTAGTATTTTAAAAAACATTAGGATGGATAAACTAGAAAGTAAATTAAAGATTATTAAAACTATTATAAACCAAATGTAAAAATATCAAAATTTCTTATTTTTGTAAGTATTTATTATTATATTTTCTATAATTAAAATAAATACTTTATTTAGCAAAAATTAAGAAAAAATTCAATAGAAAATCATTAAAAATCTTTTATTAAAATAAAAAATAAAAATCTAATTTTATTAAAAAAAATGATTTTTTGAATTTTATATTAAAAATTATTTGAAAATCCATCTTATAATCTAAGAAATTCTTTTTTTCTTATAAATTTACATATAATTTTATTATCAAAACTTTGTATTTGATTACTTTTAAAAGAATCTTAAAAAATACTGTAATTTTAAAACAAGACTCATGTATATGTTAGAAAAAAAATTATTAAAAACACAAAATTCTTGATTAAATTTGATTATGCATTTGGGTGGTGTGCTATTAAAATTGAGATATAAAACATAGTAAATTTTATGATCTGTACCTTAATTTTAATAGCATACCACCCATTTGATATTCTATAAAATTACTTAATTTAGTTACTTATTATTTAAAGAAACAAATAAACAGCATAAAATAAAATAATGCAATATTGTTATTTATACAAATATATGTTTAATATAAAAATAATTTTCATTCATTATATAATGTAATCAATAAGTAATTCTTGATAAAATTTGTTATAAAAATTTTATAAATAGAAAATAAACTTAAAGTTGATAATTTTCATAAGATTGCTAATGTAGAATTTGATGTTTAGGATTTGTTTATAATTTTACAAATTAAGATTCTTGATTCTCATATAAGTTTAAAATATATATTCAATTAATACATTATCATTAAAAAGTAAAATAAAAACCCTATTAAAATAAAAATCTTTTCTAAAAATAATAAATTTATTAGGAATTTTAGCATTATTTAAAACTATTTTACATTCATAAATTTTTTGAAAGTCTAAGTTATAGTTAAATTAAAAATGCTATATTAAACTACTAAATATTAGACAAAAATATTTTGGTAGTTTTAGCTATTAACAAAATTAGTTTTAATACTTAACTAAAGTATTTTAGTTGTTATAAATTACAGTATTTTAATTTCAAATAGCAACACTAAGTTAGATACAATAAAAAAAAGAAAAATATCCAAATATTTATATTTAAACAAGATAGAGTCCGATAGTAAAAATTAATTGTAATAGTAATTTCAAATCATAAATTTAGCAAAATCATTTAATAATACACAAGAAATTCAGAAATTAAATAAACAATCAAGAAAAATAATAATAATTTTAAATTAATTTTCATTAGTCTGATTAATATCCTAACTAGGATTCCTCAAAATAGAATCAAATCAAATATTTAAGCAATTTGAATTTGATTTAATTTTTTCAAATCAAATCAAATCAAATCAAATCAAATCAAATATAAAATTTATTTTAATTTTTACAATGATATTAAAATAAAGTTATTCTAAAGTTTTAATTAAGAAAATTATTAGTAATTGCACTAAAAAATTTCAAAGAAAGCTTTTACAAAGTAAGTTTAGTAACAGATAAATTTTTACTATTAAACTATGTAAAATAACTCTGCAGTTTCAGTTTTACTAAGAAAACTTAATAATAACCGCTATCGCGGTTTGGTTTACTAAGAAAACTTAGTAAACTGCTATCACAGCTTCAGTTTTACTAAGAAACTTAGTAATAACCGCTATCTCGGTTTTATAATAATTTTATTAGTAAAAAATGTTTTTAAAGCTGCGAACGCATTTTTTTACTAGGTTTCTTAATAAAATAACGTCCCTAAAGCTGTAAAAGCATTTTTTACTATGTTTTTCTTAGTAAAAAAGCATTTCTGAAGCTGTGGAGGTGCTTTTTACTATGGGTTTCTTAGTAAAAAAGGCATTTCAGACCCAATTTTTTAAAAAAAAATATATAAAGAAAAAAAGTAAATAAGCAAAAAAAAAAATTGTCTCACCTAACTTCCTAATTATCAAAAATAAATAAAAAAAAGCAAAAAATTATTTCAACTGCCTTTCCAATTATTAAAAAAAAAAATAATAAAATTATTATTGTCATTATTGTATTTACCATTTTAAGATAGTTGTTGCTATTCATCATTTATCTCAAAATAGTCATCTAAATCATAGTATTTGTCGCTACTAGATGCTGATATTTGCCTTCTTTTAACTTCAATAATTTCTTCTTTATTTGTGACATATTTTTCACAACCTAATATGAATATTTTAATTTTAGTGTTAAAGGATATGTCCAGTTGGTTAATTCAAGATTATTCAGAAATATTTATGAATGCAGCTAGTCATCTCATCATTGTATTTTCATTTTCACATAATTGATGAGGTTGTAGCGTCCAAATCAAGTACTTTTTAAATGAGATTTTTAGTTAAAATAAGGATTAAAAAAATGTAAAATTAATTAAAATTAATAAATATGAATTAAATAAAACTAGAAATGTTAAAGAACTTCAATTGATCACTACGAGAGATCATATACAATAATGACAGACTTTTATTCATTATCATCTATCTTACTGATTTCAGGTGAGTAGTATAGGTGATTAGTCAGCATTCACAATAAAGGCTACTTTTTATATTTTAAAATTCATGCATCATTTTGCGTAAATAAACATTTAGCAGTATTTATTCATCATATTTTTTTCTAAAATAATAAATTTACATTAAATTTAGACAAATAAACCAAAATCAAAAATAAAACTTATATATTAATATCTTGTACTCAATTATTTACATAGAGTCATTATTGTTTTATGACCATTCTTAGAGCTCCGAATCAGGTCAGGTCAACCTGTGACCCGACCCGACCCGACCTGAAAAATCCAGGTCAGGTAGACAAA